GCCCAGCAGCTCCGGGACCGACAGCACCAGCACCCTCAGCAGGCGAAGAAGCTCCAGCTCGAGCAGCACGCCTCCAGCGGCGAGCAAACCACTCGCGCAGCTCGTGTGGAGAGAGCGGCTCCCGCCGAGACTGAAGAACCGGAGAGCCCCCAGGTCCAGCAGGCGCAGGCTCCGCACCTCCAGGCCCAGCACCCCCAGGCTCAGCAGCTCCTGACGTAGCACCCTCCGGCTCAGCACCCCCCGGCTCAGCACCCCCCGGCCTCGCACCCCCAGGCTCAGCACCCCCAGCAGCAGCACCCCCAGGCTCAGCACCCGCAGCAGGACAAGACTCAGCAGCAACCTCGACTGGCCCGACGGTGTCTACCTGGGACACACCTGAAGGGGCAGGAACCTGAGGGGGGAGGGGGTCTACCGGGGGGGGAACTGGTACCAGGAAGTCCGGTGGGGGGGGGAGGGAAGGAGTACGGTAGGGGAAGAGGCGGTAGAAGGGGACTGACTCGTCGAACGTGACGTCCTGGGAGGACAGAACACGACGAGAGGAGGGGTGGTAGAACTGCCACCCTGGAGCGTCAGGGGGGAAGCCAAGGAAGACACAGGGAGCCGCACGGGGGGACAGCTTGTCCGCAGACAAGTCGCGGACAAACGCCCGAGATCCCCAGACACGGAACGCAGACGCATCGCCGACCTTCCCCGTCCACAGTAACACCGGGGACATCGCGGGCCGAGAGACCCTGGGGTGAAGGTTGAGCTGATGCGCCGCGTACCGAACCGCAAACGGCCACAGAAAGTAGGGGGCAGCCGCATGCATCATGGACGTACGAGCGACATCCATGACCATGCCAATGCGGCGCTCAGCAATCCCATTTTGCTGTGGAGAGTCCGGAAGCGTAAAGGTCTGGCGGATCCCCTGTGCACGACAGTAGGCTCGCAAAAGGCGAGAGGAGAACTCCCCACCGCGGTCAGAGTGCAGACGCAGAACAGGAAAGTCCGAGCCGAAGCTCCTCCTGAGCTGGAGACGAGCCTCGCGGATCCAGTCGATCAGCACCTCAGTGACAGCACCCTTGCTGCACAAGGGGAAGACTGAGGTGTAACGCGAGTAGTCGTCAACCACCAACAGGAAGTAGCGCTCGTGACCCTGCCCACGGACACGGGCCGGGCCCCACACGTCCATGTGAAGCGTCTGCAGAGGAGCCTCTGTCGGGGGAAACTGGGAGGAGTGAGGAGCAGCCCTGAGGCGCCCCTCGACACAGGGGACACAGGAAGGTCCTGGTCCCGAAGGAAGGGGAGGGAGAGACTGGGGAAGACCAGAGACAAGGACACGGGAAGCCATGCCCCGAAGACGGGGCAAGGAGGGGTGGCCTAGACGGTGGTGCCACAGAAGAGTCTCGTGAGACAGGAGGCGACACGAACAGGGGGCAGACTCAGGACCAGACCTGGACGCAGCAGCAAACACCTGACCAGACGCTGCTACCTGACCGGACGCGGGGACAGGAGGAGACTCAGTGGTCAGGGTGTAGAGGCTCGACCCCGGCCGACGCGAGAACGTGGCCAGGTGCCGGCCTGTGCGTGCATCCGTGCAGTGGGTCACCCGCTGACTCGCAGGAGTGAACTGGTGAACCCCCGCATCCTGTAGGTCTGCACCACTCACCAAGTTCGTCGAGAACGAGGGGAGGTACAGGCCAGACAGGGTGCCCGAGGGGGCAGCCGGACACGGGAGGACAGTGGAAAAGTGAGTGAGGACAGGACCCCCAGAGGGGTCAGCCAGGGAGACTGCAACCGGCCGTCCAAGCGGCGTGAGTGTGGTGCGGTCCCGAAAGAAGGAGCGAGAAGCCCCAGAGTCAAGTGTAAAGGTGAGGGAGGCCGAAGCCAACGCGGTACCTGAGAGCGCAGCCTCACCCGCACCTGAGGAAGCAGACTCACTAGCACCTAGAGCAGCAGCCGCACCTGTACCTGGAGCAGGAGACTCACGAGCACCCAGAGCAGCAGCCTCACCAGTAGCTAGAGCAGCAGGTCCTATACCTGGGTCAAGCGGGACGCACAGGTGACCGGCACGGTCAGCACTAGTAGGCAATGCATACATGGCAGTGAGAATAGCATCATAGTCAAGAGCATATATATCGACCCTCTGCCTAAGCAACTCCACCCAGTCGGGAAGCTCAGCCTCGTCGCCAAACACGGTACGCCAGGCGTCGCTCAGACGGGCGAAGCAGCGGGACGGTGTATGACTACGTGTCCCACAAGGCTGACCAGTCCGAGTACCAGTGCGTATCACGTAAGAGCAGCGAACAGCACTGAGAGACCCTCCACTCTGAGCGTACCACTCACGAAGCTGGCGAGGCGTGAGAGACACGCGAGAGGGTCGCGGGAGCTGCATCTGGCCGCCACCACGAGTAGAAGCAGCAGGAGTGGTAGTAGGAGTAGCGCCGCCACCCCTACAGCCCCAACCAGCGTACCACTCACGCAGCTGCTGGGGCGTGAGGGACTCACGCAGGCGTCGCTGGGGCTGCATCTGGCTCCGCAAGTAGAAGCAGGAGCAGGACTAGCAGCAGGAAGGCAGGCAGCCAGGCAAGCCAAAAGGCAGGCAGGCAGGCAAGCAGGCGACGCGCAGCGTGCTAGCAGGGCAAGAGCTCACCAGTGGTGGGAAGAGTAGGCTCGGCGACTCAGCGGCTCGGCAGCTCGGCGGCTCGGCGGCTCGGGCGACTCGAGCGGCTCGGCGGCAAGGCGGCTCTACAGCAACTGCAGCTCAGCAGCTCGGTGACGCGGCGGCTCGGCGGCAGGGCGGCTCGGCAGCAACTGCAGCTCAGCAGCTCAGCGACCCGGCGGCTCGGCGGCAGGGCGGCTCGGCTGCTGGGCGGCTCGGGTGCAGGGCGGCTCGGCGGTGGGGCGGCTCGGCTGCTGCAGGTGAGCGGCTCGGCTGCTGCAGTGGGAGATGAAGGAGGAGGAGAAGCAGGGGAGGCCACACACCTGACACCCCTCTGCTGGCCTCTCCGCAAGCGGCCCCCTCAGGTCGCCTCGACAGGCGACGGGAAAAGGGGGGGGGGGGTGGTGGGGGCCGGTAGGTGCAGCGGCGGGGCCAGCAGGTGCAGTTGCGGGGCCGGTAGAAGGGGACGGCAGGAGCCGTCAGGAGGGGACGGCGGGGCCGTCAGGAAGGGACGGCGGGGCCGTCACGAAGGGACGGCGGGGCCGTCAGGAGGCGACCGGGCCGCGAAGGGGCGGCTGGGCCGGGATGGGGCGGGGCCGCGACGGAGGCAGGCGGCGGGGCCGCGTAAGGGCCTGGGCGGGGCCGCGACAGAGCCGTCAGCGGGGCCGCGTGAAAGCCGGGGCGGGGCCGCGTAGAAGCCGGGGCGGGGCCGCGCGAGAGCAGGCGACGGGGCCGCGAAGGAGCCGGGGCGGGGCCGCGTGAGAGCAGGCGGCGGGGCCGAGTAAGGGCCTGGGCGGGGCCGCGACAAAGCCGTCGGCGGGGCCGCGTGAAAGTCGGGGCGGGGCCGCGTAGAAGCTGGGGCGGGGCCGCGCGAGAGCAGGCGGTGGGGTCGCGAAGGAGCCGGGGCGGGGCCGCGTGAGAGCAGGCGGCGGGGCCGCGTAAAGGCCGGGGCGGGGCCGCGACAGAGCCGGCGGTGGGGCCGCGTGAAAGCCGGCGACGGGGCCGCGTAAGGGCCGGCGGCGGGGCCGCGTCAGAGAAGGCGGCGGGGCCGCAGGGGAAATGGCGACCCGAGGGGTCGCTAAAAAAATCGCGCCTCGGGGGGCGCTTCGGTGGGCCCAAAAAAACGGTCCTTAGAAGGACCCGCTCTATACCATGTGAAAATAAGCAAACAGGAATGGAATGACTAAGTCAGGGTTGGGTACAAATACAACCCTAGAAAGCTGTACCCCATATGTGCTACCCCACTATAGCCTACAAACATGCATCAGCTATAGTAATCTGACACCGTATTGCCTATGGTGATGTAATTTTTCGCGCGCAATATAAGTGGAATTAATCGGCTCAAAACGTTTGAGAAGGTCTGCCCGGAACTGCTGCCACGTGGCTTCGCCCTGGAAAATGCTACTGTTGCTTCCTAGCCACTCGAGAGCTGGACCGCGCATCAACGTTGTCGCGAGACGAATTTTCTCGCCGTCGTACTCCATTGTCGTCCATCCGATCGCCGTGAAATAAATTTCCATCGTCGCGAGCCACCGCCTGACGTCGGATTTTCGATCGCTAGGGTCGAACGATTCCGGCGAGCGAAGTTTCGGAACCTCGAACTGACGCTGCGACTGCTGCGAAGTCGTCGAAGCAGGAATGTTCATGGTCGAGAGGAGCCGCGTAACGCGCTGCAGTTCGTTTCGCATCTGCTCGTTCTCCAATCGCGACCGTTCAGTCGTCGCTCGCATCTCCGCTTCCATCTTGGCGATTTGCGCGAAGAGCTGCTGCGTAACGTCGTTGGTCGCCGGCGAACCCATCCTGTTCAAAAACCACGCGAGGGGGTTAATTCGAAAAGCGCGGAACTGGTACTTACCAGAAATCGGCGTCGAATTGGTCGCCCCCGGCAGTTTTTCGAGGCGATTTTTTCCGCGACCGCTGCTTAGCCGAGAGTTGTCGAGTGAGAACGGCTCTGATACCAAGTGTCACAGGATCGAATTCTCAATCGAAACTTGTCACTAAAACTGAATACAAGGCCTATTTATACTCGGAAAGTATAAGGATAAACGAGATAAAACGAACCTTCGGGAACACACCCTTCCCGATACTACAATCACAAGTGCGCATAAGCACGCAAGTCTATTGGCACTTGGGATTACGCCCAGATTACACCGTATACACCACTGTCGGCGCTGTCGGTGCCGTATAATAGGTATGTCGGTGGGAAAAGTAGGAAATAAGAGAAATAAATAGAAGGCTCTAGAAAATAGAATAGTAGGCCGATTGAGATGAGATAAAGACCAAAATAAAGAGGAGAAAAGGGAGAATGGGATAACGGAAAAATATAATAGTGAGAAAATATTATAACGGGGACGTCCTCTCACAGGCGCGCTGCGGCCCCTCGATGCAGGCAATGCAGGTAGGGGCAGGCCCTGGAGGGAGGTACCGGGGGAGACCAGAGACAAGGACACGGGAGGCCATGCCTCGGAGACGAGGCAGGGAGGGGTGACCAAGGCGGTGGTGCCAAAGGAGAGTCTGGTGGGACAAGAGACGACACGAGCAAGGAGCAGACTCAGGACCAGACCTGGACGTTGCAGCAAACACCTGACCCGCCACAGCTACCTGACCAGACTCAGCAACCGGAGGAGACTCAGTAGTCAGTGTGTACAGGCTCGACCCCGGCTGACGGGTAAACGTGGCCAAGTGTCGGCCCATCCGAGCACACGTACAGTGGGTCACCCGCTGACTCGGAGGAGTGAACTGGTCAAACCCCCCATCCTGTAGATTAGCTCCACTCACCAAGTTTGTAGAGAACGAGGGGAGGTAGAGACCTGACAGGGTGCCAGAGGGGGCTGCCGAACACGGTAAGACAGTGAAGAAGTGGGCAAGGACAGGACCGGGTCCGACTTAGCGGCGTAAGCGTGGTGCGGTCTCGAAAGAAGGAGCGGGAAGCACCCGAGTCAAGGGTGAAGGTGTGTAAGGCCTGAGCCGACGTGGTACCTAAAAGAGCAGACTCACCAGCACCTGGGGCAGCAGACGCACTAGCACTGAGAGCAGCAACCTCACCAGCACCTAGAGCAGCAGCCACAGTGCGCGGGTCAGGCGGAACACACAGGTAACAGTCACCCGAGTCACTAGTAGACACAACATACATGGCAGCAAGAATGGCATCATAATCGAGATCAAAGACAGCAACCCCTGACCTAAGCAGCTCGCCTTAACGGGGAATCTTAGTGGCGTCAGGGAACTGGAGACGCCAAGCGTCCGTTAGACGGCCGGTGCAGCGCTGGGTGGGGTGCGGGCCACCGCACGGCTCACCAGTGCGGTCGTCGGTACGCAGGACGTAGGCACAAGGACCAGCACCCCCACCCCGCTGACGCGCAGCGTACCACTGAGGAAGCTGCTAGGGGGGCGGGGTCTCATGAGTGCGCTGCTGCTGCTGGCAGTGACCACCACTGAAGCCGCCCCGCTGCGCAAAGCCACCCCGACCAGCTCCACCTCCACCGCCGCCACCTCCGCCACCGCCGCCACCGCCTCCTCCTCCGCTCCCACCGCCACCGCCGCTGCCGCCTCTTCCTCCACCACTGCCACCGAAGCCCCCACCCTTGCCACCACTCCTACTGCCACCCCCACCCCCTCCGCCTCCTCCACCGCCACCTCCATCGCCCCCGCCAGCCCCTCCAGCGCCCTTGTCCCCCTTGCCCTTGCCGGTGCGACGTCGCCCGCTAGGGGCAGACGCGGCGCCGACCGACTCGGTGCCAACGTAGTTGACCGCAGTAGTAGAGGCAACAGAGGGCAAAAGGAGGTTGGGGGAGCATTTCTCAAAGACAGGGGCACGAGGGTCACCACGAGAGGCTCCTACAGCGACTATACTCTTCTCAGCTGCCAGGAGGCGCTCCTCGAGGAGGTCAACGGTGAGTCTGGTGGGGCAAACAGAGAGGAAGTGGTCCCCTGACCGAGCGAAGGGAGTCAGGGAGTCGGGTGACTATGTAGTAGAGGGTGATGTACATGGGGGGGGGGTTCTTGGTGCAGAACTCAGCAGGAAGCACAGTGCGGTAGCGGGTGTCACTAGTGCGAAAGTGCGTAATGAGGTCAGCGACTGTGGGAAAGGTGGAGAGGTTAGGAAACAGGTACGGCAGCATGAGGCGGCTAAGGGCAGCAGTGGCAGGGGAAGAGTAGCATGCAACTATAGCATCGTACAAGGTCTTAGCACTCTTGTACTGACTAAAGTGCGCGCGCTCAGTGGATGGCAAGTGACTACGCACAGCAAGATGGACAGCAGCATCGCGTGTGGCCCATTGTGAGCGAACAGTGCTGTCAGCAGGGGCAGCAGAGGCGCCAGACGTGAGATCGAACAGTGAGAGACCGTCCTTCCTATCGCACTGTAGGAAAAGCTGTAGATCATCGACCCAGACCTCAAAGTCGACAGCATGACCCTCAGCATCAAAGACTAGAACACTAGGGGTAGCCATGATAGCAGTGGCAGCAGGCTAGGGGCAGGAGTAGGAGGCGTGGCTCGGCAGTGCTCTCACCAAGGCTGGTAGGTAGGGGCCGGCAAGCGGTGGGGCAGAGCCGAGGCGCGTCGGCAGGGACAGAGCCGCGACAGCGGCGGCAGCTCCTGCTGTCAGTGGCGGCGGCAGTCGCTGTTGTCGGTGGTGACGGGTGCTGCTGGTGGCGGCCGACGCTATTGTCGGCGGCGTCTGCTGCTGTCGGCTGCTGCTGGTGGTGGCGGCCGCTGCTGCTGGCGGCGGCTGCTGTTGGTGGCGGAGGAGCCGAGGAGGGGCCGGGAAGGGTGGCGATGGGGCCACGAAGGGCGACGACGGGGCCGAGAAGGGGCCGCGAGGGGCCGCCAAGGGCGGCGACGGGGCCGCTAGGGGCGGCGACGGGGCCGCAAAGGGCGGCGACAGAGCCGATAGGGGCGGCAACGGGGCCGCGAAGGGCGGCGACGGGGCCGCTAGAGGCGGCGACGGGGCCGCGAAGGGTGGCGACGGGGCCGATAGGGGCGGCGACGGGGCCACGAAGGTCGGCGACGAGGCCGCGAAGGGCGGCGTCGGGGCCGCGAAGGGGCGGGGACGGGGCCGCGAAGGGGCGGGGACGGGGCCGCGAAGGGGCCGCGAGGGGCCTCGAAGGGTGGCGACTGGGCCGCTAGGGGTGGCGACGGGGCCGCGAAGGGCGGTGACGGGGCCGCTAGGGGTGGCGCGAGGGGCCGTGGGAGGGGCAATGCAAAGTATTAGTAATGCAGTAATGGATGCAATCAATCCGAACCCACAATCATGCACTTACTCTTACTGGTAAGTGCCGAGTGCCTTGTCCGAGATATTAGGCACCTTGAGCATTTGAAGCAACGACACAAGGCCAACAAACAAAGCGATGGGAACATCCGACTTGCAAATGAATAACACTACTAACAGAAGTTGTTTCAGTCTCGCCACATCACCGGCCTCATCCTCATACTCGTCAATGCCACGCTGAGCAACCTTCCCACCTTCCGCGCGCTCCTTCTAGTTGAGGGCGTCGTGGTGCTTATGGGACAAACCATGCTTACGTATGGTTTGCTTCTGGATGTTGATTCCCCCTTGCCCGTTCTTCCCGTACTGCCAGTTTGGAGGCCCGTAACTTGTGCAGATCGTGCATCTCATGTACGGCTGACCGTTATTGTGCTGCGAAATCACCAGCCACGGGAACCGTCGCTGCCATATGTCGCGGCATTTTGCCCGCAACTTCGACAATACAGCGTCCGGGTTGTTGGGAACAAATAATCTTAAGCGCCTCTGTCGTGCCGAAACACCAAGACACAAGCGAAGAAGAGCATATCGAGGCACGAGCGAGTCAACCCTCGGAGGTTGATGTAGCCGCTGGAGGTTACGCGAAAGTCAAAGGTCAGCAACCTTTGACCTGACAAATGCAGCGCGACAGCAAGGACACACAACTGACTCGACATTGAGCAGTTGCCCGAGTCGCACTGTATCGAACCGCAACAAGCAACATTAAAGTAGTTATAATTATGTCTCTTCACATTCTCTGTATTCATATATATATTCCTGTATCTTTTTGCTTTAAACAACTTACTTTGCCCTCACATACTAGCGCAAGGTGGTTCAAGGACTTTACTTAAAACGCTTCCGCTACTACATCACTCTACTCATACTTTAACTCTACCAAAGATCCTAAGGGGCACTCAGACAATAGGCGCTCCCGCACTGGCTACATCTATCGCCTCGAACCTATCGGACCCATCTCCTGGCAATCGAGCAAGTAGGAACTAATCGCTCTCTCGTCAGCTGAAGCAGAATATATTGCACTCTGCTCAGCCACCAAGGAAGGACTCTATCTTCGCGAGCTGGGCGTCTTGGTGCTTATGGGACAAACCATGCTTACGTACGGTTTGCTTCTGGATGTCGATTCCCCCTTGCCCGTTCTTCCTGTTCTGCCAGTTTGGAGGCCCGTAACTTGTGCAGATTGTGCATTTCATGCACGGCTGACCGTTCTTGTGCTGCGAAATCACCAGCCACGGGAACCGTCGCTGCCATATGTCGCGGCATTTCGCCCGCAACTTCGACAATACAGCGTCCGGGTCAGGCACAAGCACAGTAGGCGTTGACAGACCCGGGTCACGTCGCGGAACACTTCCTCCAGCAGCAGCATGTGGCGTGGCCGTCGTTGCCCCCGCACGCGACCACGATTGCGTGATGCGGACGTGAGGCACACGTGTACGTGCGAATCGAAGCGTGCTTTGCGTGAAGCGCCCCGCCGTTGGGAAACGAGCACGGCTCGCTGACCTTGCAGCATTGATTGAAGACGTTGCGACCCGTCCGCCATTATTACTCGGCGATGCATCGACGGGTCGGTCGCTTAGCGGACGGCGCAAATTAGCCACGGGCCATGGCTCGGTACTAGCTGTGGGAGGATTGTCGGGGGGCAACACGGGGGTGGGCGGCTCGGCGGTAGGTAATACGGGCGTGGCTGTCGGGGCAGGCCGTCTAAGAAAGTTTAGGCCTGTCTTCTGTTGTGGGGCCATTGAACTGGGAGGAGCACAAAGTCGTGTATCACCAAGATCATCCATGGCGTGAACGCCCTGAGAGTGGATGATGCCTGGGCTTGGCGAGAAACGAGAGAGTTTGGAGGAGAGGGCTGTGCTAAGGCACGGCAAAGTGGGGGGGTAAAAGTGGACCACGCACCGCGGTGCCCCAACGAACACATGGACCAGCGCGACATAGGTGCATCGTCGGTGCGTGTCGCTGCTACCCACTTTCATGTGCGCTGTCCTGAACTGCCCAATGAGAGCCAGAGCTGCTGCATAATCATCCAGAAACAGGCACGTTGGGATGTACTGTATAGGACAAACCCTGGCTGAGCCTGGACAGCCACCGGTGCGCGAATGATGCGCCGTCACCCCAAACATGACATGGGATGCTCCCTTACTGCCGTGATTGACGGGAGTACCATTAATCACGGCGAACTGGATAAACCTCGGTTTCAGACAAGCCTGGTACTGGTCCCTGGTAAATCAGATGAATTTGGAAAAACACTTCTAAATCAATCAGACATTTCATAAAACTTATTTCTTACTCATCAGATATTCCAGTAACATTCAACTTAAGACGCGAATGCTTCAAAACATCATGCAGACTCTTTGGATTTGCTGAATTCAAGGTATCGAGTCGAGACAAGAGGGCTTCATAGCAACGCCTCCCACGATTTGCATTTTCCAAGACAAACGCCCCACTATGGAAGCACGTCGATCGCGTGTTTGGAGTTGACTTTTGAGTCGACTAAGATGGCGTTCACAGCAAGTTCCCCCAAAGCGAACCGCGCTCAACAACAGTGCAGAGATATTTGTGAAGCACGTGTTTGGTGTTGCTTCTTGAACTCACGCCCAGGCCCGTCATGAGAGTCGCATTGGCTCCGATCGTGCCATCTAAGGCTTGGGAATGATCGTAGCCTTGCTCTAGCAACGGAAGCATCACTTGAACAGCAGGGGGCCGGATCTCGACCTCAGGCTCGGAATCAGGTCCGGGATCGAGAATGCCATTAGGTTTCAGATCAAACCGTTTGACAGAGATGGGATTAGGGAGCTTTCCCCAGATTTGGCTGGATTGGAGGAGTAGATTAGGGATTTCCCGGTACGGGAATACGACACGGCGCTCAAAAGTCGTAGTATCTGGCACTTCGGGATCGGACGGCGCCGGAAAAGTGGGTCTCGGGTCGCCTGAACGGGAGAGGGGAGAGGCGAATACGAAAAAATCGCGGCCATGGGTTTTTGGCTATCATACGGGACCGCTTCTAGTGCTGCTCGTTCTCGTGCTTTGCTTGCTTGCCAAGAAACAGGTGAGAGCATCTGCGTGCATGAAGATTTATTTTGAGACGTCTCAAAATAAATCCTCTGGTGCTGCTCGTTCTCGTGCTTTGCTTGCTTGCCAAAAAACAGGTGAGAAGCATCCGCTGCGCGCTCGATGAAGCAGCAACCCTGGAGGCATCGTGACCGTAGATCTAGTAGGCGTCATTCACGATTTTCTCTGTTTTTAGTAGCAAAGGTCTTTCGCCACTAACTATTAAACATGGGAGTGCATCGCGCTCCGAGTCGACTCATCCTGAACGCGCCGCGCTCTGAGTCGACTCATCCTGAACGCGTCGCGCTCTGAGTCGACTCATCCTGACCGCTTCGCGCTCTGAGTAAAAAAAAAATCCAAATAATCAAAACTCTTTGCTCGTGAATCTAGTGAAGGGATCTGCGCCCCTAAGTGCGTCGTGTATTGAGTTGACGCATCCTGAACGCTTACGCTTGGAGACAATTCAGGAACTCGTATTTATTTCACGCGAACCTAGTCAAGAGATGGGTCCTGACGGCGTCGCGCTTGTTTTAAGGTATTGATAAGATGCCATGTGTGTTACTTCAAGGTAAGTTACGTTCTGTTGTGTAACGTTACAATGCTTCAGCATATGTATATGCGTGTCCTGGCTTTGCGTCGTACGCTGTGCTCGCACCAATGCTTTCATTTCTGTCGTGCTTTTACGTTCTGCTTTGCTTTATGCTGGTTTTGCTTTTTGTTGCACTTCATTTTTTGCTTCGATTTCTTTTATTTGCTTTCTTTTCTCCAATTCTGGGACAGCCACTAAAAGCATATGTACATCCACTGCTGCAACCTCTCCTCACGTCCTGGACCACTCTTCGTCTCCGAGCCTCAGGCTTGGTTGGACAACTTCAAGGTCCGGAGTCTCCCCAAATTGAAAAAGCTGCCTACAGTGGTTTGGGAGGAGGGTTCCCCGCGACCCGGCTGCATTCTCACTCTCGACTCGCGCTACAACCCCGAGGGTGTGCTGGCTGTGCAGGCGGCTGTAGCGCGGCTGCTGAGAGACCTGAAGGCGGAGGGGGAGGCGGAGGGGGTGGGGGGAGGGCGGATAGGGGGGGGAAGGATAAGGGGGGAAAGGGATACGGGGAGAGGGGGCTGGAGGAGAAGGGATAGTGGGAAAGGAATGTGTAAGGGCAAGGGCGGGGAATGGAGATCAGGACGGCGGGAAAGGGAAGGTGGGGGGATGGGATGAGAGGGAGGTGGAGGAAGGGAAGGTGGGGAGGAGGGAGAAGGATGGGGAGGGTAGGTGGTACAAACGATAGAGGGGGAGGCGGCTGAAGGGAGGAGAGGGGGCGGGGGATGGGGAGGGGGGAAGGAGAAGGGAAGCGGGAGGGGAAGGAGGAGGGGGAAAGGAAGGGGGAGGGTAAGAGGAAGGGGGAAGGAAAGGGGAAGGGGAAAGGGGAGGAGGAGGGGGAGGGTGAGAAGGTGGCGGAAGAAGGAGCGGGAAGGGGCGTTCAGGACATGCCTAAGAGATGGCGGAGGTTTTATGATGGGCTACTGAAGATGATGGATGGAGATGGGAAGGAGTATGTGGGAAAGATGCCTCTATGGGTCGCTTTGGCCGTCAACATGTGAGTATGTGTTGCAGTGTTTTACACTGGCCCTAATGTGTACGTGCTATAGAGTGTGTCCCCATATGTGTGTACGTGTTACAGAGTGTGTCCCCATATGTGTGTACATGTTACAGAGTGTGTCCCCATATGTGTGTACATGTTACAGAGTGTGTCCCCATATGTGTGTACATGTTATAGAGTGTGTCCCCATATGTGTCTACATGTTACAGAGTGTCCCTATATGTGTCTACATGTTACAGAGTGTCCCTATATGTGTGCACATGTCATTATGAGCATGTGGGTTCATTTGTATCACCATGCCCACGGGAGTGCATTTTTCTTGCCATATCCACATGGGTACATTGATGTTACCATGTTAACAGAAAAAGTCAATGGGTCAAAGCGTTGATGCTGCCGTACGTGTATGTGGCCTTGAATTGGTCAAAGCAGTCAACGAAAGTCAATGCTCTATTAGTCATCACATCTCTCCCTCGTGACCGGTTCGACACACTGAATAGGTCAGGCATGCGCTCTGGCTAGTAAGTTCC